GCAGATGCTTAACCAACTGAGCCACCCAGGTGCCCCTAAAACGGAATCTCTTTCTAGTCAAGTGGCTGACATCTGGGATCTACAGAGTGGGAAAGATGGCTAGGAATTATAACAGCACCATCTGTTCGATGCGTGAGCACTCTGTAAATTCTAGAGAACATTATCTGAATATTAATAATAGTGTTATAGTTTTGTGTTTATAAAAGAAATCTTAATCATCTAAAGCATACTATCTCTTGTGTTCTTCACAGCCTCTGAGATGGGCAGAGCAGGTATGATTGCTACTCTGGGCAGAGCAGGGCAGTCAGAACCCGGGAAGGTGATATGACTTGCTCAGAATCACCCAGCAGAATAAGAAATAGTGGGTATGACCATGATCCACAGTTTCGAAGCCCATGTTTGTTTTCTGACCTGTGGCACTTCCCTCATTATAAACACATTCCTCCGTTAGAGCTTCCAACGTGGTCTGCTTTGGTTTTTATTAAATTAAGTGTGGCGTCCACATCCAAAGACAACTCGAGTGTTCTGTCTTATAAAAATTCCCCCTGCGTTGGATTTTTCTTTCCAGTTTATCTTTCAGATAATGAAAACAAATAATTCACAAATCCAGAGGCGAGATTAGCAAAACAAACTTCGCTGTTATTTTTGAGCTATAAGCAGAGCAAGCAAGCACCATAATTACTAGCAAATGTTCTGTAGCCTGCATTATCAGATCATGCTAATTAGAAAGCAACGGCTACTTCACCTCAGATTTTCTTTAGGAATTGCAGGTATAATTCTGACCATGTCATTACAGCATTTTCAATTTTCAGTTATGCTCCAAATGGTTGTTTGGCAGTCCAATGCACTCTGTGCATCTTTTTTTGGATCCCTGAAACTCTGATCCATGTTGCTTGTCCCTAGACCACCATTAATATACAGTATGTTCACCCTTGAATTTCTCTCCACTTAAAAAAAAAAAAAAAGGCAGCAAGATGTTTATGGAAAATGCTGGGTTTGGAGGCTTTAAAAGGAAAGTGCTTTGAAAGACCAGGCAGGAGTCCAAGCTGACCTAAGGCCAAAGTCTCTATCAAAGCTGATGGTCTCCAGCCCGGCACTATAGAACTGAGCGTGGAAGGAACTGCCAACCCATGGATATCATGGGATAGCCCCTTGCCCTCTGAAATATCTTTCAGGGGGCAGAAGGGTGACAGGGGAGGGGGTGGGGGCAGCACAAATTCTTCTGTCCTCTCTCAAAAAGACTTAGATGCTAACCAGAGACACTAAATTTTGTAACAGGATCAGGAAGGAAAAAAAGTATTAAAATTTGTAGATTAAGATCCTCTCTCATTAAACAAAACAAAACAAAAAAACAACTATGCAGAGAGCTTGAAAGAGAAAGAAAGACTGGAAGGAAGTATACACACATGCAAATGTGGTTATTTCTGGATGGTTAGTCAAAATTATTTCATTTACAAGTAACAGAATCTCAGCCGAAACTAGTTGAAGTGAAAAAATCTATGGAAGAAACATATTGGCTCATACAACTTTTTGGCCAAAAAATAGGTGTTGGATCCAGGTCCTCACACTGTCATTGGAGAGCTTGCGTTTCCCACCTTTCTTTCTCTTCTTCCAGGAAGCTGGAATCTGCTTTCTTCTCTATTCTTCACCATCAGAATCTTCAAACATATTAATCCTATGTCTTACAGGTCCCAGAAGAGAAGAGTGTCTTTTAGCAGCTCTAGCAGAAGTCCCAGGGGAGAGTCTGCCCAGTCCACTGGCCCACGCCTGTAGCAAGGTCAGTCCCCTTAAATCATATGTCCTCTACTCTGTGATTTTCATCTGCTATTTGTTAGACTATTTTTTTCTAAATAGTTTTTAATGAACCTGTATTATTTTATGATAGGATTTAAGTTTTAAAATTTATTTCAAAATGTGCTGTGATGTAGAAGAAAGGAATCTAAGATTCTAAGCATTCAGGAGACCTTGCACTTCTAATATCCCTAGCTGCCTTCCAAGTAAACGGAACTGGTATATAGCCATTTTGTCCACGAGAGCCTGCTACCCTGGACACAGTTACGGAACCCTAGCCTAATGGTAGAAGTAGCATCATTCTGTCTCTGTGTGTTAACTAATTTAATCCTCACAAAATCCATTTAAGGTAGGTACTATTAATATCCACCTGTCACAGATAGGAAATCAAGGCACAAAGAGGTGAAGCAACCTGCCCAAGGTTAAGTGTAAGAGTTGATCTTTCCACCCAACAGACTTGTCTGGCTAGGGGTCTGTTAAAAACAAGATCTTGAGAGAAGGACCCAGATGCAGAGAGAACAGCAGAAGCACAACGTGAAGGTAGTGAGGGTGGGAGAGAGAACCCTCTTATGAGAAGATATCTCAGTACCTAACCCTCAGAGTTGCTGTCACTTTGCGGAACAGGGGACATTGTTCCAGCTCTTCATGAGTTGTTTTCCTGTCCTTCTCACTTCCCCGCATCTCTTGAAAATAGTGCTCTGTTGCCTGACACACTGTTGCCTTTTCCTCAGCTAAAAAAGCCTGACTCACGAGTGTGACAAGGGAACCATAAAATCCTATGTGTACCTAGTTAGCCCAGTTAACTGCCATCAAGCCAAAGAAAGGCAGTGAGCTTATTAATTTCTCTTCCCCTTACTCTCCTGAAGTTCTCTGTTTGAATGTCCCTTTTGACGCTGATTTCATTCTGCCTGGAATGACCAGGAGTAGTCCGTGTTTCTTTCTATTACAGGATAACCCCTTGAGGGCAGGGCCCGTGCTCTGTTCACTTCTGTAGGAGCGCCCTGCTCCGTCCGCGTACATCCGCTGCCCAGTAACTGGCTGTGAAATAAAATCGAGGTTTGTCCAGGCTCCTGCAGGATGACAGGGCCCCCTGTTGTGATGTCTCTGTCCCCAAGGGCCAAGAGCTGGCCTCTTCTTTCCCCTCATCTCCTGACTCTGGCTTTGCCAGAGAGTGAAGAACCAGCCTTCTTCTTGTCTTACAAGGCTAAGTGCATTCCTGAGACAGATTCCCCAATATCATCCTCAAGGGACAACCTGAGGGAGCCTTGTGGCTGTGCCACTGGGGATCCTTCCTACAGAATCAGTGAATGGCAGTCCAGAAGGGGACCACCCTGGGGTATGCCTCAAGGGGCTGGGTTGAAGCCATCAGTGAAATCAGATGGTGTAGACCAAGAAGAATTCCTTCCAGCAAGAAGTGGGTCCTAGCAACACTGTGCCCTGTTTCTGTACATTATTGCTTTCTGGGACTGGGACATAAGATCTTTGAAGAGTAGGTCAGCATTCAGCTTTTAGGGGCTGGTTTTAATCTGTGAAGCCATTTGAGATCTTGGTGGGATATGCTGAAGAATGAGATGAGACCATTAGGATGCTGCCTAGAGACAGAATTTGATGAATTTCCTTAGGTTTCTCAGAAATCTAGAACATGGGAGCATCATTTGGTATTCAGCAAATGTTCTCTGATGCTTTGGGGTTTTTTTTCCCCTTAAGAACAATGAAATGGATGGAAAAATTGACCAAATTTCCACCCAGCGTGCTCCAGCTATAGCCTTCCTTGTTAACCTTACTGTTAGCACTCTACCTTTCATTCAGGGTACTCCAGGCCCCTGTCCTTAAATACTCCAATCATATTCCCATCTCAGGACCTTTGAACTTACTGTTCTGTCCTCCTGAAATCCCCTTCTTTCTCCCCCTACGGAAGCAGGGAGGTGTCAGGTCATATTTTACCTCCGCAAAGATGCCATTTCGGATCACTCAGCCTTAGGTAATTCTCCGCCAGCTACTCTTTCTCCCATTATCCTTTTAAATGACTTCATAACCTTTACTACCATCTATGAACATTTTCTCTTTTGGTTTGCTGGTATTGTATTGTCTGACTTTGCTAGAATGTAAGACATTCCATAGAAGTGGGGTCCTCAGAGCTCTATGTCTTTTTCTGTACCTCCATATGACGATCTCTAGCTTGTTGCGGATGTAGCCTGCCATCACCATACACAGGACACTGTTAGTATGGCATCCCCTGTGCCCTTGGCTGTGGGAAAGAGAACTTTTCTCTTTCACAGACAGCCTGAGTTAGAACCTGATTCTAAGTTTGGATCCTTAGATGGCTTTTTGATGTAGCATCCCATAAGTTCTGATCTCCCAAGGCTCTTTCTGCTGAGCCTTGAGATTTATATGTTTGGTATTTGGTGGCATTTACAGGAATTCCCTTTGGGGTTTTACAAACTATAGCATAGCATTGACTCCGTGTGTTCAGCTAAAGGATTGCTTCTGGGAACTCACTGAACTGCTTGAATGCCAAATTTTGGAATTTTGTTTTCCAAATTTTGGTCCTCAAGTACTACTTCCACCAGGTATGAATGGGTGCCCTGTGTGAAAAAGGAAAAGGTAAAGAGGGACACGGGGGCAGCAGACATACTCCCACCCATCTCCCCTTGGCACTCAGTTCCTGTGCATGACAACCAGTGGTCTGTTGTGAGCACCTGCCAGTCCTTGCCTGCCATCATTCTCTAGATACCATGCAAAGCAGGCCCAAAGTACAAGGGAGCTAGTGGCCCCCAAAGCAGCCCTCAGTGTCTGACTGATGAGAGCTGGTGAATAAAATCTAGCTTCCTTATTCCTGAGACAGGTCACCTCTGTGTTGGGTGTCTCCCCCCATGGGTCCCCAGCAAGGCTGAGTTCCAGTTGCCTCCAAAGGTAAATTTGCTTATTTATGCCCCATGGACTGGCCTCCTTCCCTTTCCAATCTCACTTCCTTTCCCTGCTTCCGATGCTTTTTATAAATTCACCTCCCAAATAAACCTTCTTTCACTTAAATCCTTATCTCAGGGTCTGCTTCTGGTGCAGTCTAATCCAAGACAGCATGCTATGACTAAACATGGCCAAATAAACTTAGGAACTGAGCAAAATGAAATAGATTTTTTTTTACTCCCTGCCGGACCTCCCAGCCTCACTAATGTGCTCATTTGCATTGTGAAGTTTCAAGACAAGTTTTGATGCAGCATTTCCTTTATTTGGCCATGGAAACTGAGGCAGTGGTGCCCCTTACAGGAGAAAGCGAGCCTTAGGACAACACCCTCTAGGACCACTTACCCCACTTTTCCACCTGACTCACCAGGGTGGGAGAAGCTAGGTGGCCAAGACCAAATTTTTGTTTGGGGACAGTTCCATGGGCTTAAAGCTTCATGTTACTGGAAAAGCCATGTAAATGCACTCCCTCCACAGCCATCCATTTAACTCTCTTGGCAAAAATGGTGTATACAGATTCAAGCTTCTGTTCTAAAAGGGACAGAGAATGGAATGGCTTTCAAAACCCACTCCTTCTCAAGGTCAATCACCCAAAGTCCTACAATTTAACTTAGCAGTTTCATGCACCTTTGTACTTCCCTTTTGTCATGCCGAAAGCCACAAGTTTAGAAATGAGCTAATCGGAACTAACCATGTCACAGGCTGAAGAATTGAGAATGACATGTCATTAATGAGTCACTTATTCACATTGTTGGGTGAAATACAGATGTGAGGGCACCTTGGAGCCTCAGTCTAGCAAGGGAGATGGATAATGAACTCATAGTTACAAAAAGAACTAATCCCTAGAAGTTTTCTCAATGAAAATGTGCACATGAAGATAATGCATAATGAAGAGAGTGTATAATGGAGTACCAGGAGCCTTAGTGGTACACAACAGAGGGGCCTGACTTGTCATACTCCTGCTTGCTGATCCACATCTGCTGGAAGGTGGACAGCGAGGCCAGGATGGAGCCCCCGATCCACACCGAGTACTTGCGTTCAGAAGGAGCGATGATCTTGATCTTCATCGTGCTGGGCACCAGAGCTGTGATCTCCTTCTGCAACCTGTTGGAGATGCCAGGGTACGTGGTGGTCCTGCCAGACAGCACCGTGTTGGTGTAGAGGTCCTTCCGGATGTCCATGTCACACTTCATGATAGAGTTGAAGGTGGTCTCGTGGATGCCACAGGACTCTATACCCAGGAAAGAAGGCTGGAAGAGAGCCTCTGGGCAGTGGAACCGCTCGTTGCCAATGGTGATCACCTGCCAGTCAGGCAGCACATAGCTCTTCTCCAGGGACGAGGAGGACGCAGCTGTGGCCATCTCCTGCTTGAAGTCCAGGGTGACGTAGCACAGCTTCTCCTTGATGTCACGCACGATTTCCCGCTCGGCGGTGGTGGTGAAGCTGTAGCCACGCTCCGTGAGGATCTTTGTGAGGTAGTCCATCAGGTCCCGGCCAGCCAGGTTCAGACACAGGATGGCGTGGGGCAGGGCGTACCGCTCGTAGAGGGGCAGTGCGGGTGACCCCATCCCCAGAGTCCATGACAATACCAGTGGTGCGGCCAGAGGCATACAGGGACAGCACAGCCTGGATGGCCACGTACATGGCTGGGGTGTTGAAGGTCTCGAACGTGATCTGGGTCATCTTCTCGTGGTTGGCCTTGGGATTCAGGGCGGGGCCTCGGTCAGCAGCATGGCGTTCTCCTTGGGGGCCACGCTCAGCTCGTTGTAGAAGGTGTGGTGCCAGAACTTCTCCATGTCGTCCCAGTTGGTGACAAGGCTGCGCTCGATGGGCTACTTGAGGGTCAGGATGCCCCGCTTGCTCTGGGCCTCGTCGCCCACATAGGAGTCCTTTTGGCCCATGCCCACCATCACACCCTGGTGTCGGGGTCGCCCGACGATGGGCGGGAACACGGCTCAGGGGGCGTCATCCCCAGCAAAGCCCACCTTGCACATGCCGGAGCCATTGTCGAGGATGACTGCGGCGATCTCCTCTTCCATTGCGGTGGGTGGAAGTGGCAACAGTGGACGCGAAGGACAAGCTGCGGGAGAACGCCGAGCGCGGGCTGGCTACGGCGAGTGAGCTATAATGGAGTACCGGGAAGGCTTCCTGGAGCAAGCAGCATTTAGGGGGAAACATAAAGGGTGAAGAGGAGGGATGAGTGTTAGAGTTGGTGCTAAGGCTGGGAATGAGAAGTAACCCAATGTTAGGGAAACTAACCATGCAGGTGGAGTGGGAGTTGTAAGGGAGCCAGGTCTCCAACAGCCAGAGGAGGAGGGTGGGAACTCAGTCTGGTAGAGTGGACATGGGCCAGTTCAAGTTCATATTGATTCACCTTGAGAGCTGAAGCAGGAAACATTCCTTAGCCTCTATATCCTCATCTGCAAAGTAGGAATACTAATAGCACCAGCCATATGGGTTCTAGGAGCAAGTGAAATTAACACATGCAAGACCCTTCACAAAGTGCCTGTTAACATAGCATGTGGTCGATCAATGTTATGACTTTAGTTATTTATGTATTATTCATGCTAATTTGGTTGGTTAGTGAGAGAACCAGGGTTCGAACCCAGGTTTTTCTTACTAGAGCCTTCTCTGTTAACTTCCTTGATAGATTTCCTGGTTTGATTTTATATAGCATTTCTCAAAGAGGATTCTGCGGATTACTAGGTGATATTGCATGTCAAGTTTTTGAAAATATTTAGGAATTATGGATATAGGAAAATGATTAAAAGATTTTTTTTATTTTAAAGATTTTATTTATTTATTTGTCAGAGAGAGAGAGAGCACAAGCAGGTGGAGCG